TTCCAGCACACAAGACAATCAGGAAAACAAATTGCAGCAACGGGATATTCTTTAGGACATTGGAAACTAAGGACATGGAGCATGAAGTCCCTTTTTGTAGACGACTATTACACATAAATCCCCTAGCATCATCTTTGTGCTCCTGCTGCTCCCCCCCTTTCTCTTGCCCTTTCCTCTCATTACAGCCCACAGACTCAGCCAGTGCTCACAGCTGGACATCAGTCCTCAAATTTAAACCACTCATCATATTCACTCCCACCTATACGTCAAACGTGAAACCATATTTAATGCTATAGGTTCAAAATGGAGAAGGCTAAATATATTGCATGTACTGACTGATTAAGATTCAGAGCAATTCAATTTCAGTAACTAAAATAGCTTTTTAAATAATTGTGATCCTGCCGTGTATGCATTTCAGACAAGCAAGTACAAGGTTAATTTCACGTCCGTTAAAGGCAGTAATTTAAATCAAACCTGGCACAAGGCATCAGCCGTAAGCGAGCAAGCGCGTGTGTGTTTGTTTGCATGTGACACTTTGTTTTTATGTCCATCTCTGCTAAACACACGCAGCCTTTTCTGAGTGACAACCTGTCAGCAGATGCCATGCACAATTCATTTTCTGACAGTTGACAATGCCTCAGATGCTTTCAAAGTGCTCACATAGTCTACTGAACAATGCCTTCAGCAAGTGCTAAGCATAGCTTCAAGTTTATCAGATAAACCAAGGTCCCAGGTGTCCAAGTTGCTCAGATGACAACCCTTTTTTTAGAGATTTCATATAAGTATGTAAAGAGTAGGACTGTCTCAACGAAAAGTGTCTGACATTTACAATGACATTCAGCCGTTATGTCTCACTTTCTTTTTTAGCTTTGACGTAATTTTTAAAGGTTTTTCTTTTATCCCAATCAGATAAAGCTTAAAAATGTGATTTATAATGTGTGAGTCTGTCTGTGTTTGTGTGTCACTGCAAATAGGAAGTACAGTAGACCCTTTGACCTAAACGACTGATGTCCATAAAATCAGCATCTCTTTCAGAACAGAGACTGTGAATAGCTGGTACTGCAATCAACAGCTTTGTGTGGCTGAGCGTGATAATTACAACCCAGAGAGGAATTTCACCAAGAAAAATGTCTCGACTCCTGACACAAATTTGCTGTGCAGAGTTTAATGTAGCCAAGGTTCACATTTGTGATGCAGTGTTTCATAGAAATTAGTGTGTAAAGTTGCACACAAACCAGTCTGCCTGTAGCATGTAGTAAATGTCTAATGTTTAGCTCAGAGGTCATGCTGTCATTGATCATGTGGCACAGTGGTCAATAATTACCCAGAGGACAATTATGCTTTCAGACAAAACATGCCCCCCTCAAGCAACAAATACAAAGAGATGGAGAAGTCATTTCCAGATTTCTGTACGCTACAGCAATACATCATTTTTTAAGATAAACCACACTACGAAATGTACAACCAAATCACAGATTATATTACCCTTACCCTGTCATGTGAACACCGAAATATTAACTACATAAAAGAACATTTTATAAATCATTAAATAAAAATGTTCCTTTGCAATAATTTCCGAACAGAAACCTTTGTTATGTAAAGGAGTTGAAAGAATATGATATGAGACTCACATGACCTCATTAAGATCTGTTGAAAAAGCATGCCGCAAATGTATTACCGAGTGTTGTTGGTAGTTAATGTGGCCGTTGTTGACAGTAAGCCAATCGTTAGATGACAGGAGAGCTGCCTGTAAGGCAGGTCAGCTGCATGCAGGACTCAAAGCTCACTGGGTGAAATGGCCAGAGGCAAACATTGACTGCCTCATATATTGTCAATCAATCACACCACCACAATGAGGCACGTGTAAACTGTGGAGAACACTAGGCATGTGAAAATACTGCATTTATCTACAGTGTATGATTGAGAAATGGTTCCAGCATTAGTTTTGTCTAAAAGCTAATTGATCACGAAAATGAGCGCCCCTGCTGTTCTCATCAGGGATAAGACTTCAGACTGTGTAGTTTTTAGTGTTCTCCTAATTATTTCCTCTTGTGTATAATTTTAACTATTTAAAATCTAAAATGTCTTCTAAATCATTTTTTGGAAAACGTGTTTTATTGAGGTCAGAATTGCATTTGTTGACATTATGCAATTAATGATGAAGCTATGGTAATTTTCTCTGGGTTTTCTCTGGAAGATTTTCCTTGTACGATGTGAGGGTCTAAGGACAGAGGGTGTCGTGTTGTCATACTGATATTCTGTACAAACTGTGAAGACCACTGAGACAAATGTAACATTTGTGATATTGGGATATATAAATAAACATTGATTGGTTGATTGATTGATGTAATGTTTGTCATAACATCAAAAACTATCAAAAATTTGCATACTAACTATGCTTAAGAGGAACAACGTTTTGGAGTAAATGTCTCACTCTAAAACTGAAAGGCCGAAACAACATGCACTTATAGAATTTCAGTTTTTTCTCCAACAGACTTAAAGTTCAACAATGTTTTTAAATAATCCTTCTTCTTAATCATTCAGTCCATCTGAAAACATTTGCATATGCAACAGCGCTGATTCATGGCTTGCTTTATGTTTGTTTGTTTCCCTAAAGAAAGAAGTGATGCTCTGTGGTTGACTGACTTCCATCATTATGTTGAAGCTCTATCCATCACTGCCCCTCGCTGTCGCCTTGTTGTCTTTTAGGCTTGTTAAGAGAATGGATAGGGAATTCTCCTCCACTTGTCAGTAAATACATCAGAGTTTATTGCAGTCTACCTCGAGAGTGGCCTCATCTGTTTCCCATCGCTATGTTGCATGCTTCACACTCCAATAGCACTTTGAATCCCAGGGACAACACCACGGTAAACAACACAGAGCAGCTTATAGGTAAGCTTCACATCTGTAATATCTGCTTTCCATTTTAAACACATCTTGAATACATGCAGTCACATAATATATCCAAGATTCTACTGAACACAAATAGCAAAAAACTGAAATATATTTGTTCATAGGCCATCAAACTAATTTTCTGTTTGAATAACCCTCATAATGGTTGAGCTACTGCTTAACCCAATTGTTTTGTGTGAAAAAATATATTATATGACCGGACTGCAGGAGCAAGACAACGGGGGAAGAATGATTGCCATGTGAATGGCACTTAAAGAGGGGAAAGAAAAGTGAGTAGACTGAGACATTTCTAATTTGCCACCATCATTGGGAATCATTCCAGCTATATAGTGCCAGGAGAACTGTGTCACAGAAGACAATAATTGGAAAATCACCACCACTTCTCCAAATGATCCCCAATACACCAAGGTAATTTTTCTGTGTCTGAACACCATGCTACTCCAGCTTCAGAAATGGACCACTGTGATAAGAGCTTAAATAACAGGAAACAAAATGATTCATTGTAACAGGATAAAGAATAACTTTTTTGGCAAAGAATTCTTTATCATGAGTAGCCTATGTCATTTAAGGATTGCAAATAAGGGAGAACATAAAATGTCATATTGACATTTAAGAAATAGGCTACAATGTGACACTGTTCCATCATTATTAATGACGCAGTACAAAGGTACACTTTTCATGACTGTAATGGAAGATGATGGAAATGATCTTTTCAAGCTGTATAAGACTACTGCATGTACTTGTTAGTCTGGACAAAAAACACCTCTTTGTACCCAGTAAATTGCCCTATTTGGCTATTGTATACAATAGTGATATTATTTTGTTTTATTAATTAATTTGACTAGATCTGAATTTTATTTGCATTTGGCTATTGTATACAACAGCCAAATACGTGTAATGTTTTAGGGCTTTAAGGAGGTTTTTACTGAGAGGAAGGAACATCATGATCACATTCTCACAGTTACACACATTTACAACTCAAATTAAAATTCAAAACCTTTATTTATCCAGGTGAAATCCCATTGAAATCATTGATCTCTTTTTCAAGAGAGACCTGCAGCAGTAGGTTCCACATGAAGACATAAAAACATAAACAACAGAACAACAAAAGGATATCATACAGCAAAGATTACAGGGATTACAATTTACATATCTATCCACATGTACAGGTACCAACAGCATCTGATTGTGTAGCATTAAACCAAGCTTTAAAAACATGTAGTGGTTTTATACACCTGGAAGTTGTCCAGAGCAAGCACAGTCTAATCTGCTGTCCACTCAACGATGATCTTTCTATTTTGAAAAATGTTTTATTAATTAATTTGACTAGATCTGAATTTTATTTGCATTTGATTTTATTGGACCTTAATTATTCAATTGTATTCTATTCAATATTCAATGAATAAATAATTAAGTATGTCAATGAAATAAATAAATGTATCTTTAAAATAAATCCTGCAAGAAACACATGAAGCAGTAAGTATAAAAATGTTTTAAATATATATAAAAACATAGATTTCTATAAGGTTTTAAAGGACTTGTTTCGAAGGTCTTCTTTATTTTAATTCAGGGGAATCTTGATTGTTTTCTGAATGTATGCCGTTAATAACTGTGTAATATATACCTGGCTGCTAAAATCCTTAGAACTGTTATAAGATGTGTATTTTGCAAATTGTGTAACTTGCTGCTGTTAAATACTCATTCAACTAGTGCAATATGTGCTATATGTGCAATTTATATATATATATATATATATGCCGTTAATAACTGTGTAATATACACCTGGCTGCTAAATCCTAAGAACTGTTTCAGGATGTGTATTTTGAAAATTATGTAACTTTTTTTTTTTTTTATAATATTTTTTATCATAACTTTGTACTTTAATGCATGTAACACATGTAACATATGTAACATTATGTAACATGAAGCTGTCTGTGGCTCTTTTTCTGCTGTAACTATGTACTTTTCCCCTCTGTGGGACTAATAAAGGTATTCTGATTCTGATTCTGAAAGCCAAACAGCATGGTCACAGGATTGCGCATTTCTGCACATTATTGACGCGGGATGACGCTTCGGAGTGTTTACCTTTGACCTCTCTTCGGTGGAGCTAGTTGAACCAATCGCTGGGCTCGTTGTTGAGAAGTTTCTCGGAGGTCCATACCCCTCGTCAACATGGTGAGTACAATTCATTCAAAAAAATAGCGTATTTACAGTCAATTAAAAGCCAGTAACTGTGAGAAATGAATATGTTGTTATTTCGTGTTCAATACATTACCGTCTATTTTTCTTCATGTTGCCATAATAATGTTTAACGTCCTATAGCATCACAGGTTAGCATGTCGTGTTAGCGCGGAGCTAATATAGCGGCACACACATATCATCATGGTTCCGACTATGTCCTGGAACTAGTATCACAATAAAATAAAGGTGGACATCACTTACATGTCTATAAGCTTGGTTTATTTATATTATTTGTAAATACGTCTAACGGTGTTCATAAACTTAAACCAAATGGTTAAAAAAAGTGTTTAGCTAACTGAACAGTTGGCTAACTAGCTTCGTAACTCACGTAGCTATACAAAAACCACTATTATTCTCCAGGAGTTAGCCAGTCTGTAGTCTTTCATTACGAGCAGCATCTTATACTTGCAGTTATTTAACAAGTGGGCATCACTCTGGGGCAATTATGAGTTTTTGTTATTTTATACAACAAAACTGTTTTGTTATTATTGAGATTTACGCCAAATAAAATGGAAAAATTCAAAAGTCATCTTCTGTTTCACAAACACTGCTAACATTATAGCTAATGATAAGTTTGGAGTTTCTCTGGTAACGTTTATAATTCGTGGTATTGTGTTACATTGGACAGCATTTTATATAAAGTTTCATATACCTTAATGAAGTCCAATATGAGCTTGAATAATAAAACTTTTTCACAAGGTTAGTTTATTTGTATAGCACATATCAAACTCAAAGGCAATTCAATCTGCTTTACATAGGCAATAACACATAAGCATTAAAAACGAAATAAATTGAACAAATAATATTTCATAATAGAGATTGAAATTAGTTTTAAAAATAAATACAGATTGTGCTGCAAGAAGTGCTGAAGTGCATTGATAAGACATAGTTAAATAACCTCTGGAAAAGCAGCAATAAAAAATAAAGGTTTTCAGCCTTGATTTTTTTTTAAACAAACATGTTTGGGCCGGATATTTACGAAGTTTGTTCCGGGTCTAAGGATCATACAATCTGAAATATATATATCATAGGTCTTTGCACGTGAATACGTTTGTTCAGCCAACTCACACACATCCTCATGAACCAATACTGTTGAGATTTAGTTCAAACTGTTTTTTAGAGTTGTTTCACCCAATGGTATTTGCGGAAGCTGTATTTTTTTGGTGCTCTTGAGTTGTTCAGCCTTGTACTGACAGGTGTTTATTATTTGTTTATAAAAATGTGGAATAATACTACATTTCTTAACCTTATTATTTAGGTAATGCATGTTATGACCAAGAGTTATTATTATCTTAAATATGCAACTGAAATATTGTAGTAAACAAATCTAATTTGCCAACATTTTTTTAAATTTAAAAACACATTTGAGTTCACTAACTCTCTGTGGTGATTCTTATTAATACTGTCATTAATCACAGTGTCATCATCGGACGCCAATAATGGCCCGAGCCAAGCGCCACCTTATCCGGGTGTACCGCCCTCAGGGATACCCCCCCCCCCATTTATAAGTCAGTGACAGATACGTTTTTGACAATGAGCTTTCCACCTCTTGTTGCATGTCGTCATACAGAGTTTTGAACTTAGAGTGGTAAATATTAAAGGTCCTGATTCTTGTTTAATGTAATCTAATGCATCTCTTCTGATACTCATTGGTGTAGATGGGACCGCCAGGAATACCGCCTCATTACCCACCCCTCGGGATGCCTCCCATGGGACAGCGTCCGCCCAGCATGACTCCTATGCCTCCTGGTATAATGCCACCAATGGGGGCCCCACCAATGGGACAGGTGAGTCTTGGAGGAAGCTTGTAGGTTTTGTTGAGTTTGGGTTTGTTAGTTCTAAGAGAGAGATGGCCTGTGTGTCTACTGCTTCTCCCACACCAGAATGTATCCCGCTCCTAATGATGCCTGTCAGGATACTAACGTTATGGACTCATCTTCTGATGAATGGATATGACTGATCTACCCATCTAGCCAAATGTGCATTCATTATTCATGTGCAGTATTTGTCAACAGAGCTAGAGTGCATTTTATTTATTGTTTTTATGGTGTAGTTTTATTTATTCAAGTTTTTAAATCTAAATCGTTTTTTACATACTACTTAAAAGGACTTGTGAAATAGAAGGTTATTGTTATTTTGATGGGTGTACTTGCGCTTCTTTATTATCATTATATCAGTGGCTTCAAATGTTTTGAAAATGAGAGTAATACCATTTATTGCAATTTATATCTGGGACAATATTTTGTCCAACAAAAGTAGTTTGCGTACTCATGAGTTAAACAAGGGCCTACCACCTGTGCTTCAAATGAAAAAGCCAGATGACCGGTGTAATCACTCTAATGAAGAAAGACAATTGGTGATGAAGTGAGTCTGTGCTTGGCGTAGGGCTGGGCGATATGGTCTCTCAATGATATCGCGATATTTACTGACTATATCGCGATATACGATATATATCGCGATATTCTGAAATGTCCTCTAAAAAAGAATTTTTTTTTTACAATTAAGCAGATAGCTGTGTCACGTCACCAAACANGAGAAAGGAAAGCTCATTTTGGCCGCGGCGGGAAATTGATTTGACAACATAATACTCGATGTTCACGATGTGGTCATTTACGACATCGCATGGAGTGCAATCCACGATGTATCGTGTAAACTCGATATATCGCCCAGCCCTAGCTCGGCGGTTAAAGATTGATTCTCTAGTGTAACTTTTGGCTGGTGTCCTTGTGCACTCGTGGATTTTCCTTTGCAATGTGGGATTTTAACTTGCAT